GATGGTTGTGAGCCACCATGTGGTTGCTGGGAGTTGAACTGAAGACCTCTGGAAGAGCAGTCAGTGCTCTTAACCGCTGAGCCATCTCTCCAGCCCCCTGTTTTGTTTTTTCAAGACATGGTTTCTCTGTGTAGCTCTGGCTGTGCTGGAACTCACTCTGTAGACCAGGCTGGCCTCGAACTTAGAGATCCGCCTGCCTCTGCCTCCTGAGTGCAGGAACTAAAGCTGTGAGCTACCACCGCCAAGCTTTAAAGTTACTTTTTGAAGTGATCCAGGCATGGTGGACACTCCTTTCATCCCAACACTTAGGATGCAGAGGCAGATGGATCTCTGTGAGTTTGAGGCTAGCCTGATCTACATAGAGAGATGTAGTGGATAGTACCTGGGGAATGATTTTTGTGGGAAGTATCACATATGAATCTTTTCTATTAGTTTCTATAATGTTTGTGTTTAAGACAAGGAATTAAAATATTTTGTCTCCCCTACCTTTTACGTTATTGCTTTAACACTCCCCCGCCCTCCCCCAACCCCCCACCCCCCCACCCCCCACCCTCACCACAGCCGTCAAAATCCTCGTTTGCTCAAAGGCCTACTGCTCTAGTCCAGGAATTTGATGTCCTGGAGCAGTGACCCCTTTCCCCTTCCTTTTTAATTCCAGTGAGCTAATTCTTCTCAGCCTAGCCAACTGATTAAGACTGTGAGGTTGGACCCCAGCCAATGAAGAAGATACACAGTTTCACCTCAGAATAAAAGCCAAATACGCCGGGTGGTGGCAGCAGCGCATGCCTTTAATCCCAGCACTTGGGAGGCAGAGGCAGGCGGATTTCTGAGTTTGAGGCCAGCCTAGTCTACAGAGTGAGTGCCAGGACAGCCAGAGCTACACAGAGAAACCCTGTCTATAAAAACAGCAAACACCTAAGACAGAAAAGCCAAATGCACTTTCTGTCTTAGGTGTTTGCTCTTCTGATTAACAATAAAGTTTGCCTTGTCCTGACACTTCAGTGGAGTGGTGTTCCTTTCTTTGTGACCAGGAACATATTCCCAACAACACCCATGGTTGGCTTCTGGCATTCACATGTGCACACACAGACACATAAGCACATAGTACGTATAGTTGTTTTTTTCCTCTCTGCCCCGTGGCCTCCTGGGAATCTGTTCCTCACACGCTGACAGAGGAAGAATACAAGGCTGAAGTACTCCCAAACTCCCTATCTGCCATTGGGCCACCAGGCTGCCAGGTCAATGTCAGAAAGGTGGATGGCACATAGACACCCACAGCCCCTCCTTGAACTCTAACCTCCTGTTAGGAAGTATGTGAACTGCTAGGGAGTCCCACAGGGATGTGCCGGTTGTGTGAAGATCCCATGGCACATGGAAGCTGTAAGGTCAGCCCCTGAGGACACTTCCTGAGGTACACACAACATAGCTGTTATCCCTGATCACCTTGCTGTGTGGAGGCACACAGGACTTCCTGATCCTATGAAACTGGAACTCTTCTCCTGGGCCCTGACCTCAACCTCACCACCCTCTGAACTTTCCAGATGTGTTTGACCCATTTGCAGCATCTGTAGCGCACACTGAAGATTCTGTCAACTTGGTAAGATTAGAGCCGAGGCTCAGAGTGCTTGTCTAGAGTGCATGAAACCCTGGACCACACCCCCAGCAACACATCACCCAGAGGTGATGTACACACCCAAGGATGCACACATGGGATCCCAGCACTCAGGAGGGGAAGGCAGGAGGATCAGAAAGAAGTTCAAGGCTATCCTCAGCCACCTACTGAATTCAAAGCTAGCCTGGGATACTCAAGACTCTCTCAAAACAAGCCTCATGCTCTCTCTCTCTCTCTCTCTCTCTCTCTCTCTCTCTCTCTCTCTCTCCCTCCCTCCCTCCCTCCCTCCCTCCCTCCCTTCCTCTCTCCCTTCCTCCCTCTAGCTCTCGCTATGTCTACAAAATACCTGGGAGGAATCAATTCAAAGGGAGAGACTTAATTTTTCTCGTGGTTTCAGAGATTTCAGCCTGTGGTCTTGATGCCTGCTTGCTTTAGGTCTATGGGAAGCTAGGAGCATGTATAGATTTAAAAAAAAAAAATGCTCTCTCTGTGGTTGCCAGGAAGAAGAGAGAGAGGGAGAGAGAGAGGGAGAAGGAGGAGGAGGAGGGAGGGAGGAAGGGAGAGACAGGGAGGGAGGGAGGGAGGGAGGGAGAGATAGAGGGAGGGAGGGAGACCGAGACAGAGGAGAGGGCAGTATCGGAAGGAAGAGGTAGGAGACGGGAAAGGACACGCCCACTTCCAGGTGTGGCTTAGCTTGAGTGTCACAGCTCAGAGGGGCTGCTGGGGCGCTGGTGTCCACCAATGACGCCCAGGCAGGCATTCCATCGAGGTATGCTGCAGGGGTCAGTGTGGGGACCTGGAAACCGTCTGCTTGCTCTTTTGGGTTCCCTGAAGGAATCTGGGCTCCCTTTGTTCATTCTTAACTCTACTGGGAAAATAAACCACATCCAGTTTTGCAGCGGGTCCCCCAAGCCTCTCTTCTGCCGGGTCTCTTGTCCCTTTGCCAGGCCCAGAGCCCGGGCCAAAGTTCCTGGGATTTGGCGATTCCCAATAATTAACCCGGGACCCCGGGAGCTGCGTGGTATGGGCAGCTCGTCAAGGGGCTGCTGTTTCCAGACTCCAAGGTGTTCGCTGCGACACCTCCCGACCCCAGTCTCCACCCTGCCCCTTCCATGTCCAGCTCTGGCTATTCCTTGTCGGTGTGCTCCCCACTCCAGAAGCCCTGAGCAGGGTTCTCTGGGTGTATCCTGGGGACATTCAGGAGGAGCCCTGGTGACACAGAGGACGCGGGGTGAAGGACTCTGCTGTTGCTTTCCCTGTCTGGCCAGCACTCCTTCACTGAGCCAGGCCTGAGTGATACAGAGCTAAGCCACTTAGCCGCTGAGAACCGTCCCCAGAGCAGCTCCTTCTGAGGTGCCTTGTAAATTAAAGCTCGAAGCCTGAACCAAACCCCGCAAGTGCGATTTAGTCTAAGTGTCATCATAAAACGGCACACCTGGCCTGTTCACAAGCTAATGACGGCGTTTACCACAGAGATGAACTCGGGGGCTGTAACATTAATGAAACTAGCAGCATTCACGGAAGGCGGCCCCCTCAGCGCCTTGCAGTTGGGTGGCTGATACACTCAGTGAGGCAGGTGCCACAGTCAGCCCTACTGACTTCCAGCTTGCAGACTAGACACAGAGGTTGGTAATTTGGCCAAAGTCACACAGCAATAAAGGGGGCCACTGAGCCTGTAAGACGGGTAGGCTGGTAAAGGTGCTTGCCACCAAACCTGAGGGTCTGAGTTTGATCCCCATCGGTCCATATGGTGGAAGGAGAGAACTGACTAAAGTTGTTCCCTGAAAACACACACACACACACACATAAATAAAACATTTTTTTTTCAAAGAAAGGAGGCAGCTGCAATGTAGAGGTCTTGGTAGTGGGGTACAGTTCATTGAGGAGGGCCAAGGGACCTTTCCCTGACCCCCACTTCTGATGCTGGTTCATGGCTGGGTGCCAAAGTCTGATCTGAAGTTCTCTGTGACCAAGGTCTCCATTCCTGCTGTCATTCTGTGAGGCACACGGAATGTTTTGGGCGGATGGAGAGTCCCTGAAGCAGCTCCCAGCGATGTTTGCTCCATACCAGGTCCTCAACTCAGCTTTAATGAGAGCACCCATAGTGGGGGGTGAACCCGAAGATACCCCCAAGCAGGGCTACCCTCCCAGCCATTCTGTAATCCCTTCTAGATAGAACAGGTTCTTTAGTCTTGCCTTCCCTAGCCCCCAGGCCAGGTTTAACTTTTTCATTCCCAGATATTCATTCATTCATTCATTCACCAGAGTTTTGAAGCCCCTGTGATATAGGGGGTTGGGGATGGGGACTTCCTAGGACAGGTGACAGCCCAGTGTCATGCGCTCTGTAGTGAACAGAGAGAGCATCGGCTGGAAGGTAATGTTAAGGCAGAATGGTAGCTGAGAGCAGTAACTGGGAAGACTGGATCTTAGGAGGACTCAGGGAAGGAACAGAGCTCTGGGCAGCAGAAAGAGCAGGTTTTGATAACTAGGATCCCTGTCCCTGGGTTCCTGAGTCACTCCCTGCCCTGCGTGCTGACAACGACAGCTGTGGTCTCACTGTCATAGAGGGCAGACCCTGGGTATTCAAGAGGAGAGGAGAAGGCTTGAGCCAGGTGGCCTGGGGACACAGCTGTGGAAATGTTCAGATTTGCGAGTGATTTGAAGGACACCTGGGAACCTGGCTGCGGTGGCTGGTGGCTGAATCCCAGCTCTCAGAGGCTGATGCAGGAAAGTCAGCACGAGCTTATCAAGATCATTAAAGCTAGCCTGAGCTAACTCCAAGTCAACCTGATCTAACTAGCCAGGCCTGGTCTCTGCAGAACGATGGCATCAGGCTGTGCAGACAGCCTTGCGTTGTATGCTTCGAAGTTGACTGTCTCTGTCTCTTGTTTTCTTGGTGAGTGCCTCTGGCTCTGACCTCTGCCCCACATCGTCCATTCCTCACCGGGTGGTTCAACCTTCCAGGTAGTCTGTTTTACATCTGTAGTTGTACCTGGTTTTTATTTTCCTACGGAGCCTCACGTGGCCCAGGCTGGCCTCAGGGAGAATGACCTCGGAGGCTTATCCTCCTGCCTCTACTTCCCCGGATGCTTGGATCTCCCTAGTGCTCACTGGTTTGCCTCCATCCAATTTGGCTTGCCTCTCAACAGAAGGAGCGCGGAGCCGCGGAGCCGGCCTTCTAGCCCCGCCCCCTTCCTCTTCCCCTTGCAACACCTACCAGCCCTCCGTTTCTAGAATGTCACCTTTTCACACTGTTCTATAAATGGAGCCCGCAGCCTGGCGTCTGCTGGGACTAGCTTTTGGTCTCGGTGGATCTCCCTGGAGATTCTCCCAAGCTGCTGTGCGAGTCCAGACTGGCTGGACTTTTGCAGGTAGTCAGGGAGCCTGACTAGGAGCATGCGTAGTCAGGTAGGGGGAAATCTGAGGGTGGAATGTGGGGCAAGGAGCAGCCCAACCCTCCAAGCCCCCAAGTCACGTGGTCCTGGAGCGGGTGAACGACATCACTCTAAAGTGCTGGGATGGAGGAAGACCAGAAACGAACTCGTAAGACCTTATAGATGGCCTTCTCATTCCGGACAAAGCATCGAGGTGGTGAAGACAATCCAGGGCTTGCTGTGGGAGGGGCTAGATGCCTGGGGAGCCACTGGGGCGGCAGTGGGGGTGGGAGTGAGGGAGTGGTGGCGGGGCTGGGGTAGTTACTGGACCTTTTCCCCACCCCACCCCCACTCTTCCTCTCTTTGCAGTCACTGGACACCAGAGAGCCAGCGCTATGCTGGGTGCAGAGTTTAGCCCCAGGGGGAAGGAGGGAAGAGAACCCAGGGCCTTGTGCCTGCTAGGCTCGCCTTCTGTACCAGCTACGGCAGAAAGGAAAGGATCTAAAGACACGCTTATGTCTCAATCTGTCAAGCTAAGGAAACGACGGACAACAGAGACATGAGACGCCCCTCAAGAACGGCACGCGGAGAGAAGGAAAAGGCACCAGCCCAAAGGAGGACTTATCTCTATCTCGTTAGAAAGAGATTTCACACAGTTTTCAGGGATGAGACTGAAGCACAGACACAGCTCAGTGGTAGGCGGGACCACACCTTGAACGGGCTGCATAGCTATGCAAGTCCCTGACTTCTATTTAAACTTTGATCTCTCCTTAGGACAGGTGGATTTTGGTAGCATTTGCTGGATCTCTGTACCTCTCTTCCCAATGAGGCAACATTAAATACACCTCCCTTTCTGCCTTCCAATTTTAATTTGATTCTTTAAATCGTCTTAGTGAGGACAGGAAGGTGGATCTGACTTGGGGCACCAGTTGTGACATACCACTAAGCCACAGAAGTCTTGATGTCTGGCTATCTCTGCACCCAGGGTGTACTGGGCAGTGTTCTGCAGAGCTTCGGGGCACTAGGAACCTTCCAGAACTGCCTGATGAGAAGGCACCTATGCATGCAGGCTTCTGGGGTCAATGCTGGGGAACCCCGTCCGCCTTCCACAAGAAAGGCTCCTGTAGCCGGGCAGTGGTGGTGCACGCCTTTAATCCCAGCACTTGGGAGGCAGAGGCAGGCGGATTTCTGAGTTCGAGGCCAGCCTGGTCTACAGAGTGAGTTCCAGGACAGCCCGGGCTATAAGAGAAACCCTGTCTCAAAAAACAAAAAAACAAAAACAAAAAAAAAAAAGAAAGAAAGAAAGAAAGAGAGAGAGAGAGAGAAAGGCTCCTGTAGCTGCAGGGCCAGAAGCATCTTCATTACGCAGGGTCTGAGGTTCACACAGAATGGGAAGGGACCTGCCTAGACCTGTCAGGGTGTTCAGAAAGCTTGGTGCTCCAGGCCAGTCAGCCAGGTGTGGCCCCTGAAGGAAGGAAGGACTGGCCCAGAAGAGCCTAGGATGTTTGTTTTGTTTTCTTTGTCTATTTCTTTTATCTTTTTTTTTTTTTTTTTTTTTTTTTTGACAAGGACTCTTTCTTAACCCCAGCTGTCCTGGAACTAGCCATGTAAAGCAGGGTCCTGAAACAGAAATCCACCTGCCTCTGCCTCTTGACTGCTGGGATTAAAGACATATGCTACCATGCCAGGCACAGTTTGAATCCCAGCCAGTTACATAGTGGTGTGGTCCCAGCCTTTCCAAGCTGTCCTCATCCATGAAACACATGCCTGTCTTGTAGTTCTAGCTCCTGGCTTTAGCAGACACCATGTGACATGACTGTGGTTGCTTCCCACATCTCTAAGCCCCAGGGCAGGTGTTAGGAGGTCAGGCCTCCAGACAGCAAAGTCCACAGTCTGAAGGGAAGAGCTGCCACCACCTCCAGGCAGGCCCTCAGGCTCCACAGAGCCTATGGGCAGTCTGGTAGGTAGACTGAGATAGATAGCCAGGCATGCTGGACAGATGTTGCTGGTCTGCACACTGCACCCTGCTGGGTCTCTGTTGTTTGTCTTTCTGTATAGCCCAGGCTAGTTTTAAACTGACTATGTGGCCAGCTCATAGTGGTTGGAAACTTTTGATTGTCCAGCCTCTAAGTGCTGGGATGGCCACTCTCTATCGGCTTGAGCTTTTGAAGAGAGAATGACACCAGCTCATTAGAACATCTCAGTCATTCAGGGTTAGGCATCATCCCTAGGGTTTTACTATTTTGTTTATTTATTTCAACCATTTCATGTAGCCCAGGTTAGCCTCAAACTCATTATGTAGCTAGGGATGGCTTTGAACTCCTGATCCTTCTGCTTCTCGAGTGTTGAGACTACAGGCGTGTGCACATGCTAACAAACTTTGCTCAGTGCAGACTCAAGGCTGTTACTGCACAGTCTCTGAGTGGCTGGAAGGGCTCTGTAGTGCTGAGAGATCTCTGGGTCTCCATCTCAACCCCACTGGGCTCCAGATTGGTGCAGAGCTATGTAGACTGCAGCTAGGTAGGCCTGGATTCAGGTCCCAGCTCCATCATTTGAGGGACCGGGTGATAATGGTCCAGGGATTCTCTGTGCCTCATTTCCCTCTGTTGCACAGAGATGAAGGCTGTCTGTCTCTCCCAGAGAGGACGTTTCTCCACCCCGATAATACCCACTACCTTTGAGTCTGGCTCTCCTGGGATATCTGATTTGTAGAAGTTTTGCATTTTTATAAAATATTGGCAGGGTAGTGGTGGTGCACGTTTTTAATCCCAGCACACGGGAAGCAGAGGCAGGTCGATCTCAGTGAGTTGGAGGCCAGCCTGGTCTTCAGGGTGAGTTCCAGGATATTGAGGGCTACATAAGAGAGAAACCCTGTCTTGAAAAATCAAAACAACAACAACTCTTGGAGCTGCACAGCTGTCCATGGGTCTGGCATGTGAGCGGCTTGAGTAATGCATTGCGGCTGATGCCTGGCTGTGTCTGCTTTGTGGGCTCTTCTTAATTTTTTACCCCTGAGGGACCAGTCACACACCGGTGTAGCATGGTTTATTCAGGGCATGGGGTGGGGAACCAGGAGGGTGGCAGAGGCAAAGAGAGAGAGAGAGAGAGAGAGAGAGAGAGAGAGAGAGAGAGAGAGAAAAGAGAGCAGGAGAGAGAAGAAGAGGAGAGAAGAGAGAGAGAGAGAGCAAGAGAGCGAGCAGGAGAGAAGTAGAGGCTGGTCATGACCACGTGGAGAGAAGGGGAAGGGAATGGGGAAGGGGGAGGGGACAGAGAGAAGCTAGAGGCAAGAGATCAAGAGATCAAGAGATCAAGAGAGAGAGAGGAGGATCCGGGCCAGGCCTACATGGCTGTTGCCAGGTAACTGTGGAGGTGGAGTTTAGACAGACTACTAACAATAGTTATACTGCCACCATAGCTAAGCTATAGGATGCCAGGGATGGAACCAGGGCGTTGTGTATTAGGCAAGCTTTCTACCGACAGAGCTATGGCTGCATCCTGTTCTTCTGTTAAAATTATTATATTGTTATTAATTCTGTGTGTGTGCGTGTATGTGTGTGTACGCGAACGTTACGCTGGTGTCAGGGAGGTCAGAGGACAACTTGTGGGACCCAGGAACCGAACTCCAGAATTGAACCCACTTTGTCAGGGTTAGGGGCGAGCACCTTGACCCACTGAGGCGTCTCATCCAAATACCCTGTTTTAAACATTTATTTATTTATTTATTTATTTATTTATTTATTTATTTATTTATTGTGTTGTGCCAGCATCTCGGGCTGGCTGTGCACAGCCTTTAGTTTTGTTTGTTTACTTATTTACAGACAGGGTTTCACTCTAAGCAACCCAGGCAGGCCTTGAACTCACAGCACTCTTCCTGCCTCACCCTTCCAAGCAGGTGGGACCACAGGACTGCAGAACCAGACTGTCGGATATTTATTTATTTATTTATTTATTTATTTATTTATAGACAGGGTGTCTGTCCTGTAGCCTAGGTTGGCCTGGAACTGGTGGTGTAGCCTTGAACTCCTGATCCTCTCCTAGCTCCTAAGTAATTGTGATTACAGGAGAGTGCGATACCCCATGCAGTGTCTTAGTCAGGGCTGCTATTGCCAGGATGAAGCACCATGACCAAAAGCAACCTGGGGAGGAAAGGGTTTATTTGGCTTACGCTTCCACACTGTAGACTATCATTGAAGGACGCCAGGACAGGAACTCAAACGTGGAGGGGACCTGGAGGCAGGAGCTGCTGCAGAGGCCACAGAGGGGTGCTGCTTACTGGCTTGCTCCCCATGGCTTGCTCAGCCTACTTTCTTTCACCAGCCCAGGGATGGCCCCACCCATAATGGGCGGGGCCCTCCCCCATCAATCACTAATTTTAAAAATGCCCTATAAGCTTGCGTATTCTACAGCTGGATCTTATGATGGCAGTTTCTCAAAGTATTCTCCTGTCAAGATGACTCTCGCTTGTGTCAAGTTGACATAAAACTAGACAGTACATCTTTTTAAAAAAGATTTAATTTACTTTATCTGTATGAATGTGATGTATGTACGTGTACTAGGTGCGTGCCTGGTACCTGAGAAGATGGTGTGAAATCTACTACAACTGGAGTTACAGATGGTCGCGTGGGTACCGGGAGTCAAACTGGGTCCTCTGTAAGAACAAAAAATACTGTAACCCACAGAGGCATCTATCTAGCCTCCGTTTCGTTTGCTTTGTTTTTCAAATACATTTTTAGAATTAGAGGTACTTTTTTTGGCTGTGGCCATGCAGTGTCCCATAAGCTGTCTCTGACTGTCTTATTCACTGTAGTATTGTCAGGTGAGGTGACCCGCGGATCCCTTAGGACATTGGTTCTCAACCTTCCTGAGACCCTTAATGTTCATGTTGCGGGGAACGCCTAGCAAAAACGTATTGTGTTGCTATTTTATAAGTGTAATTTTGCTACTGTTATGAATCGTAACGTAAATAGTTTTGGACATAGAGGGTCGTCGCGGGGATCGCGACCCACAGGTTGAGAACTCCGTCTCAGCGGGAAGCCGCCCTCTACAATGGAGGTGGATGAATATTGTTGCCTTCGCTGCGGCCCGCTTCTCTTCTAGGACATCACATCACTATCTGTCATTAGTGAGACTTAATTGTATTACAAGCGAAACAGGTCTTGGGCTCCTCCGGCCTCTGATGGTGTCTCTGAACTTCACGGGACATCTCCACCGTGCGGGGGAGGATAGTTTGCACGTTTTGCAGTCTGCTCCTTCAGGACCTCTCCGGCCTTTCCTCCTGGCTAGATTCAGGAAGACTCTAGAGAAAGGTGCCCCTGCCCCCATCACAGCAAGGGCTCAGACCGGGCGGGACTTGGTCACGTGGGTGGTGTGTGTCTGAGGAGATGTTTGCCGGGTTATCCTCCCCACCCCCACCCTCCACTGGCTCCCTGGAAGCCAGTCCCAGTGCGCTTGGGGGAGCAGGCCAGTCGGGCTTCTGGTCCTGCTGGTCTCTTGAGTGTTTGTTTTGTTTGGGGGGGAGGGTGAAAGCCAGGTCCCTAGGGCATATGCAGAGCTCTCTACCACTGAGCCCCAGCCCCAGCCCTTTGGGGGACAGGATCTCTGTGTAGCTCAGGCTGCCTTTAAACTCCTGCCTCCACTTCCTGAGAGCTGCGATTTGTTATTGCGTCTTTGGGGGTTTGATATTTATTTATTATTATCATCCACGTACATGCTGTGTGTGTGTGTGTGTGTGTGTGTGTGTGTGTGTGTGCGCGCCCGCGCATGCGCACAGGTGCCCATGTGTCACACAGTACTTGGGTGGAGGTCAGAGGACAACTGGATGGAGTCGGTTCTTGCCTTTCTACCTTTTATACGGATTCTAGGGA